CAAGAGCCTTTCATATATGGAGCATAGAAGAGACTTTGCTCTTGGTATCACTTTAAATTTGACCTTCAGGCAAGGTAAGTGGGGATACAATGTGTTTGTACAATGTCTCCATGGCATTATCATAATGTAGCTCAAATTTTTTAACTTGTCAGCCAAATTCTCTAGCGTATTGAAGAAAAGCGTGCCAACCACAGTGCTCAGCAATAATATTCAAATCTATCCGATGCCTTTTTACCATGGGAAGTGCATCTTGAAACGCTCATCAACCAAACTACAAAGCATTAATAATTATTGATGTCAAGACTATTATGACATTAACTGAAGTCTTCCTTTTTCTCCTCTTCAATTCATTTAGATTATATGGTAATAAACAAATTAAGGAAGCTTTTGGCAAGTCTTTTTGTATGGTTTTTTAGGCTTTTTAAAGCTTGGAAAATCAAATTTTGGTCTTTCTCTGTTTGGCAATGAAAGAATACAATACAATAAATCAGAAAAAACCTATGCCTTAAAAAGCTTATGAAAAGTTCAAAATGGTTAAAATTCTACACGCTTCAAAATGAAGTTTCCTATCTTTTTTGTACCTAAGGCTCCATTTGGAAGGAGTACAAATATAAATATGTAGAGCGCAAAATCTTATATTTTGTATGAATTTTTACCGTACATATTTGTATTTTATATTATTTTGTATGTATTTGTACAGTACATATTTGTATTTGTACTCCTTCCAAACTGTGCATAAGGCTCAGTTTGGAAGGAGTACGAATACAAATATGTAGAGTGCAAAGCCTTGTATTTTGTATTATTTTGTATGTATTTGTACAGTACAAATACATACAACATAATACAAAATACATAGTTTTGCACTCTACATATTTGCATTTGTACTCCTTCCAATCTGAGCCTAAAGGCTTTCATTTAACAGCTATGTAGATCATGGTAAACTTAAATACTTATCAAACGGTCTAGATTTTTAAAGATAAGACATCTTTTGGCCAACTAAGCTGTCGGAAGATCTTCCTAAAAAGACTTGCTAAACAACACCAAAGCAAGTGATAAGTATTAAAAGGGAAATCACAAACTTTTTAAGGTTTTTTATAGTATTTAGGGAGATAAATGAATTTCCCAAAAAATAAAAATAAAAAATAGAAAACTATCCTTCACATTTCAAAAACTAATGAATGTTAACAGTGAACACTAGGGGTGATCATGGGCCAAGCTTAATGTGTGATAAAGGTTATAACCCATGCCCAGGGCTGGGCCAAGTCAGCCCAAACCTCGGGTCCAAAATATAAGCTTGGGTATGGTTTGGCAGGGATTTGAGCCTATGTTATTAAATAGCTATATTTAATATATAACAATTTATGTTGTACGATATATAGTATATCATCATATAATATAAAATAAAACATTTTATATTATAGAAATTAAAACATTTTCTGTATTATTTCGTAAGTATATATACATACTAATTGTATAAAAATTTTTGTATCAAAGCAATATTAATCTGCCACACCATTTAAGAAAAAACATTTTAATTTTAAAATGGAAAGGACAAGCTGATATAACATAGACAATTTTCAAGCGTTGAGAGGATGTAATTTGTGAAACCAAGAGAGAGAGAGAGAGAGAGAGGATGTAATTTCTATGTAAATATACTAGTTAGGACCCATGTGATGTACAAGCTTTATTTATCATCAAAATTAAAGATGGAGCTCTATGACATTTCAAATTAATCAATTCAACTATTATTTTTTTGGGGTTATGTCTAGTTTATCTGATTACAATCTAAATTGTGTTTTAGTGAGAGTGGATAATTTCCTATCCTCTAGATAAATTTGTATTATGTTTTTTGTATCTGAATGTTGTTTTTTATTAATTTTTTGAAAAATATTTTTTATTAAGTTTTATTGGTTTTTTGTTATTTTTGTATTATTTTGAGGTAAAATTATATAAAAAATCCTCTTATAACAATTCTATAAACCACCTTTGTGTTTTGACCCCTAACAAAGGCCTCCCTTATATTTTTGAGAAAAAAGTGCAACTACCACCTTTCCCATGACTCTTCGGTAACAAAATACATTAAAGTTACCAAAATACCCTTTTATCATTGTTAGTGCATTATCATACATAATTTAAGGTTTCAACTTTCAAAGAATAATTCTTCTTACTCTCCTTTGACAAATGTAAAAAGGCTGAAGTGAAGTAAAATTAATGCATTACATTAACATTTTTTATTTGGAATGCTTATTAAAGGAAGGTATTTGCACCTTTTTTCAAAATAATAAGGGAGGTTTTTGTTAAGGTCAAAACAATGGGGAGTTTCATAGGATTGTTAGAAAACCCAAGGAGGCTTTTATAAATTTCCTTGTTTTTAAATGAAATTTAAATTGATTTTAAAATAATTAAACTATGTCTAAAACTAATATTTTTATTGATTTTTGAAATTAGTAAAAAATGAATTTATTTAAGTATATAAAGTTTTTATTAAATTTAAATTCCTTATGAAATTTAATTACTATATAAATTTTGATTTTTTAGTGGAACATAAGCTGGTTATAAATTAATAAAATTTAATTATAAAACTAATAATCGTTATATAATTTTGTATTAGTTTTATATTAATTTAAATTGATATTCGTTTTTAATTTATGTTATTCCTTTTATTAGTTAAATTATTTTTTATTATATTAATAAATATATTATCAATAACGTTAATTAATAATTATTTTTATTTTTTTAAGTAACTTACTAAATTATTTTTATTACGGTTAATTAATTTTTATTATTTTCAAATGGAACATAAATGGATTATAACTTTAAATTGAAGTAGATTATTTAGTGCAATAATATATCACTGAATATTTCAATTTCAATATAATTAATATTTATTGATAATTACAGTTTAATGCAAATATATATAGTTAAATTGATAATTACAATTTTAATGCTATTCCGGCCTTGTTTTAATTTTCAAGGTGTAGCAAGAAGATGAATGACATGTCGCTATCTATCTAGTTTTCCATCGATCAATAATCAATGGTTTTCCTTTTATGTACAACAAGCTGCATCTGCATGACTATAAAAAAGTGGTGGTGGGGTAATGAATCTTCTCACCTCTCCTAGTCCTAGTTAATCTTTAGCCTGTGGTTGGGATTTGGTTTCTCATCGACACACAGCATGGCTCCCTACGTCCTATAGCTTTCTTGGCACTATTGTTCTTGTATTCGCACCTCCCATGGAGATGATTGTGACTGGTTTTATCCTTGGTTTGATATATCTAACATGGGTGTAGCATGGTAATAATTTGCAATGGCGTGGTTCTTATTGCAAGCAAACCAGTGCATGCAGGGTGTTGTCTTCTCAAGACCGGCCAACCTGAACTTGACTTCCTTGTGAAAGGCCTCCTGCCTTACTCTAATGACAGGAAGGCTTTTACACAGTGCAATATGAGCCCATTCTATCTTGATGAGGTTGGTTTACACTTTACTTATCACATGCTCTTGAAGTTCAAACTATGTTTATATATGATCTTATGACTGAATCATTAATGGAACTAATTAGCATAGTTGATGTAGCTCATTGTAGACATTAGCATCATTTTCAAGGAATTTCTAACTAGATTGTACACATTTTAAAGTTCTCACCATGATTATATTCCCTTGTTGATCCAATGCAGCTCTCAAACTTATGATGTTTGCTCAAATGCCCGAGCAGCTGGCCTAGCATGGAAAACACATCAATGCAGCTCTCGAACTAATGATGTAGACATTAGCAGCTCTCGAACTTGTATATATAGCTACTGGCCTAGCATCAAATGCCCGAGCAGCGAGTCTCCACCTGTGGAAAAATACATGGAAAACACATATGATGTTTGCTCTGGCCTCAGTGAGCATGACTATTTCAGCAAGACATTGAATCTTCGGGCAAAGGTGGACATGCTCTCAGTATTTAAGAGAAGTGGCAATTAATTGAACACTTTTGTTTATAATAATTTCTATAATTAGGATGTTAAATTATCCAAACTGGTCCTTTGTTTCTTCAGTCCTAGAGGCTAGAGCTAGACAATTCCTAAATTATCCACATGTATAGTATTAGTACTCCATACTAATTACTGTCCTCAATGCGGGTGTTTGTGTTCAGCAGAATGAGGGAGCCTTGTTGGTTGGGGGAGAGGGAGCCAGGTTTTCGGTGTCAGGCGTAGGTGCTAGTGAGATCTGAAGAAGATCTAGAGAAATCGTCAAATCAGCAAAAAGTAGTAGTAGCAATGGAGGAATATTGCCATGGTCCAGGGCCTCCAAGCACAAAGAAAGATGAAAGAGGATAAAGAGATAGAAGGAGGTTTTCTGTTGAGTTTCAAACAGGGGTATTTCAATAAAAATGTATGTAGAAGGAAAATCTAATGCTTAATTTAACGCAGGGAAAGTTTTTGTATTTTACTCTTATAAAAATTAAAAGAAAGAAAAAAAATTTAAACTTCCTTATATATATATATATGTTGGTGTTTATACCCTCCCTTACTTTAACACACAACCGAATTAGACCACTGTAGTAGAATCTAAATCGAATTTTAGCCAAACGAAAGATTTTTAAGACTGCCTTTGTTTTCATATAAATGCGAATTAACGTAAAACTCTATTGTCGATGTAAACTCTATGTTAGTTATTAGATAGGGTAACATTTATATAGAAAATAGATGTAAATCTTTCCATCGTTTCCATCGATAACACATGAAAAAAAAACTCGACTGTCCACTAAAATTTTAAAGGAGAGGTTTAGGTAATTTTCCATTTTTCACAAAGACGGTGGCACGGTGCACCGAACAAGACCGGATCTGCTCTTGACACCTGACGCCTCACAGACGGCTCACACACACATCCTATCATACATTCGGAACATCGATGTTCACAATGCACGGTGGATGCGCATGTGAGGCGCCCATTTGTCATGAGCAGATCCCGTCACGCACCGAGCAGGCGAGCGCGTACTTTGCCAATATTTTGATTGCCTCGGCAACGCGAACTTTCTGCGAGGAAGAGAAGGGGCGTGCTGAGAGACGACTCTCTCCCTCTCTCCCTCCCNTCCCTCCCTCCCTCCCTCCTAACACCGAGAAGGAGAAAAAATTAATGTAAATCTACCGATCTGACCCCGACACGCACCTTCTGAATGCTCGATCACATAGCTTAGACGCCATTCGATCTGCCCTGATTTTCTTTGTCCTAGATTTCCTGTCTCATTGGATTTTCATAAATATCTGGATTAATCTGATCTTCTGATATTTTGGTCCATACCGCCGAATTCCTATTTCTATTTTTAACCTTTGGGATTCTCTAAATCCGATCGAGAACGTTTGGATCGGGTTTAAATGGCAGCTTCTCGACGCCTCCGGGACCTGCAATCGCAACCAGGCAACAAGATCTGCGTCGATTGCTCTCAGAAAAATCCACAATGGGCGTCTGTATCGTACGGCATCTTTATGTGCCTTGAATGTTCTGGCAAGCACCGTGGTCTCGGCGTTCACATCAGCTTCGTCCGATCCGTGACCATGGACTCCTGGTCCGAGATCCAGCTCAAGAAGATGGAAGCCGGGGGCAACGAGCAATTCAACGCGTTCCTCTCTCAATATGGGATCCCTAAAGAGACGGATATCGCCACAAAGTACAACACCAATGCTGCCAGTGTTTACCGCGATAGAATTCAAGCTGTAGCTGAAGGGCGTCCGTGGCGTGGTCCTCCAGTCGTTAAGGACACGTTAGGGATTGGGAAGAAGAGGCCTCCACTGGCGCAGACCAGCGGTGGCGGTGGCAAAGATGCTAATTCGGGGGGTAATGGAGGTTGGGATAGTTGGGACAACGATGATAGTTTTCGGTATTCGGATATACGGCGGAATCAGTCTACGGGGGATTTCAGGAGCGAAGGTGGTAGTGGTGGCGCGAGAGGAATACCTGCAAGATCAAGGTCGACCGAGGATATTTACACGAGGTCTCAGTTGGAGGCTTCAGCTGCAAACAAAGAAAGCTTTTTCGCAAGGAAAGTTTCAGAGAACGAATCGCGGCCTGAAGGGGTTCCGCCTTCTCAAGGGGGAAAGTATGTTGGGTTTGGATCTACACCTCCGCCAGCTCAACGGAATAATCCGCAAGGGGATGTTATTACGGATACCGTGTCTGTTGTTTCTCAGGCAAGAGGCTTTTTTTCCCTTAGCACCTTTCTATTTTTCTATTGTAATTTGTCCTTTTTTATTTTTCTTCTACTTCATATTTGATTATACTTGTTGGTTAAATGCTAGTAAGTCTTCAATTGTGATAAAGTTAGAATCGGCCTCATGACCTTTGTCTAGTTGTCGAAAAGGCCTTTGTTGGCCTAAGTGCCCCAACTAAGGACTTTAAGTTGGCCGGTTTTTAGGTTCTGCAAGTCATGGTCAAAGTCTTAGTCAACAAGTTGACCAGTAGGCCGTATTAGTATTTATAGTAATTTTTGTCATTACAATTTATCATAAAAGATGACTTATTATTTTTAGTAATTTCTTTTTTCTTATGTTTAGTAGAAGCAGACAGTTTTGGTGTCCTAGTTTGAAAGGGAAGTTTCTATTTTTCTTGTTTGAAGTTTGAATACAAGTACAAATAGGAATTGGAAGTGCTGCTAGGTCTACAAAAGAGTGCCAACAGGCCTTGTATAGAACAATTTATTCTATTCATTATTACTTTTCCCTACTAAGGACTGATAAAGAATTCTTCTTTTCTATTTTTACAATAGCCAAAAGCTATTAGTAGAATTTATTCTTACATCATCTTCTATTTTCTCATCTTAATTTGCTCATTAATACTTGTGGCTGAAGCCTATTGTTGAATGTTGGGAATTTTATGCTTCACTAGATTCATTTGATGTTGAGAATTGCACATATCATCGGGACAAAGTGGTTTTGGGTCACTTGGTTTCTTTTGAACAGGATACAATTTAATATTTATGAGGGAACATGTAATCTAGTTCTCTTCAATATATGAACACCTTGATTAGCTAAATTCATCTTGATGTAAAATGCCAACAAAATAAACTTCCACAGGTAGAATGGTACTTGGCCAGATAATTTTCTGTTGAATCTTGTTTTTTGGACAACCTATCTTTCTCAAGGGAATAGAAATAGGGATGAGACTAAAACTATGAATGAAGGATTGGGGATTACAGATAGAAGGAGCTTGTTTGTAAATGAAAATTAGGGTTTGTTCAATTGAAACACTTATAGGGTAAGAATAGGAAAAGAAGTACAATATATGGAGATCAAGTGGGTGACAGTTTACGTATCAAGCTGCCAAAAATGTTTACCATTAGTTAATAATTGAAAACTATTGGTTCTCCCATCTGCTTCAGTATACTCTTTTATTTTTTATGACAAAACTTATGTACCAAGTATCATAGTTGTCAAGGCGACAAGGCGCCCTTGGAGGCTCGCCTCGCCCAGTTGCCAAGCAGTTTTGCATACTGTGTAATAAACTACTTTTATATTGTTTTTTTTTTTTGAGATTATGATTATAAAATAGACATTATTAAAGAAAAATATTCATTTTTTTGTGTTCATAATATAAACTAATCTTTTTATTATTTTCTTATTTGTTAGGGTTTAATCAGCACAAACATTGCTAACTGCTGTATTGAACCCTCAATGACTTCAAAATCTGAACCAATAAGTAAGGGAAGAACTTAAAGTTTTGTCTAATGAACACATTTCTTCTTCCACATCTTCTTCTTCTTCTTCTTCTTCTTCTTCTCCTTCTTCCACCTTTTCTTTTCTTCTTTTCCTATAACAAAAATAGGGGTTCAGCCCTTGTATTTTTTGAATTTTCTTTCCTTTCTTCTTAAACATGAAGTTTATAATTTTTATGAAAATTATGGATAGTTATTAAAGAAAGTTGTTTATGGAACCTAGGGAACTACCCTAGGATATGTGATTTTTACTTAAAAAAAATCCATTGCGCCTAGGCGACTAGGCAACAAGGTGCCCCTTGTCGCCTAGCCTCGCCTTGACGCCTTGAAAACTATGCCAAGTATAAGAAGAGGAAGAAATGGAATCGGAATGGGATTCAGGATTGGAATTGGAACTGAAATGGGAATCCCCAAGAATTGGAATCAGAATCGCCTATTGTTGACGCCTGTTTGACTTAGACAGAAATCATAATCAGACTCTAATTGTTGTTGTTTGGTTCAATTGGAAGCCGGAATTGGGATCAACCAAAATTTCTAGTTTTACCCCAGTTAGAAGAAGATGGGAGAAAGAAGAGGGGCGATTGATTTTTTATTGGGCTAATACTGACCGTTGATGGTATTAGTAGTGGTAGTGGCAACTGAGGGGAGGAGGAAGAGGGGGAGGAAGATGCAAGGTTTAAAATATCGATAGTTCAATACAATACGCCCCGTATTGGACATATCGTATCAGTGTCCGTATGCACGGATACAGGATATGTTACAAACACAAATGTATCCCTTCTGTCATGCATATTGAAATTCGTGTCCTATCGACCAATACGCAACGATATGACGCAATACAAATCAATACATACCACTCATGCATCATGTCTCTCAATTAAAAAAAAAAAAAAACTTGTTAATGGAATTCAAACTCAGGTCGCAAAGCAGCCAAGTCTTAAATACTCCTACCTTAAACCGCCAAGCCATCCTCCATTTTGTGTTAACAAATGAAATAAAATAAATTTTATTACTTTAGCGTCCACATGGAATTCAAAGTCTAAACAAATAACATGTCTAGTTCAACAACTTCAACTAAAAATTAAAAAGAATAATATTTTAAATTGGTATTTTATAAAGTAAAGGAATAAATAATCTATCAAGTATTCAAGTTCACATTCATGCATTGCAGTTTTGCTTGCTTCTCTCCTTCTGATTAATATAATTTTACCTTTTCAAAAAGAAATCTATCAAGTTCACATTTATATCAAAAAATGATTTTTAATCTCAATAAAACAATTATATGAAAAATATTAATAATAAAATTATTTTAGTAATTAAAATTTTTATATGTTTTTATAAATTATTAATTATAAGTTCAATTTAAATTAAATAAAAATATGTTTATTATCTAAAAAAATAAAAATATTCGAGAATATAATATTAAATTGAAATTATCAAATCCACTAATCTACATTTATATCAAAAAATGATTTTTTTTTTTATTTTAGAAAATTATAGAAATAAAAGTATTAATAATGGAATAATTATTTTAGTACTTCAAAATTTTTGAATTTACATATGATATGTATCTTAGAAATTTTAATAGATCCAATATATTTTAAGTTAAGATTATATATTTTTATAAATTATTAATTAATATTATAAGTTGCACTTAATATTTAGTTGACATTTTTGTTAATACTAAAAAGTAAAATTGTAAGATATAATATAATTGGTTTAATAATTAAAATACAATAGTTGTATATGTTTTGTGTCTTGGATTTAATTAGAAAATAAGATAATAATGGCCTTGTGTATGTATTAATTTGTAAAAATCTATATAATATGTGTATTAGACTCTTGGTTGATGCATTGTCAAGAAAATTGTATACAATGTTGTTAAAATCTTAGATTTATGATATGATTCATGATCTGAATCATGAATCCCAAGGGTTTCAATTTGAATCTTATGTCTGAACCCTTTGCAAAAAGTTTATGGTTTTTGTTTGAATCCTACAATTTGATTCATAAATCTTACAATCCCTACGATTTACTGTGATTCAAATAAACTTGATTAAAAATTAGTTTTCTACTTTGGCATTTGTTTGTTTATATTCAGTTTTGTCAAGGGAGACTTGCTTTATGGTTTATTTACATTATTCAAGTTTAGACATTGAGTTTATTTGCATCATGTGTAAGTTAAATAGCCATTGCATGTGGATTTATTTGACTTTCAAATCAAGCTTGATTATGTCATCTTAGGCTTCTATTGTATAAGTTGTAAATTCTATTGTTTTAGATACATATATGGTAAATATGGATTAAGAATGGTATAAACTCACTTTCCTATATATAGTTAGCCTTTTAATATATCTATATTTAACTTTTTAATAAGTTATTAAGTTTGTAAAAAATAGAAATAATCTTACAATTTACGATTTTGATTCGATTTGGCTTTCTTTACAATTTACGATACGATTACAATTTTCAAAACATTGATTGTATAATATCTATGCATCGTACCATATTAGTTGTAATATATTTATTCATATATACCATTAAAAATATACATTTCTTATGTACTTATACATTATTTATGGTTACTTTGACCTTAAATTTAGTGTTTATGTATTTATGGAATTTGTATGTGTTTCCTAACGTATCCAAGCATTTCAATATTTTCCGTCTCTATCCATGTGTTTCTAAAGTGTATCCATATCTGTATATGTATCCGAGTTGTCCGATATGATACCCGATACCGATACTTTCATCCTTGGGAAGAAGAGATCTGGTCGGCAATTGGCAGCGGTCTTACCTCACGAGAGATTGTGGTCGGTGATGACTACTTGGATGGAGGAAGGTTTGAAGGAGACACTCAGGACTAGGGCTGATTGGTGCTTCGGAATGGATGGATGTGTTTTTTGTAAAAAAAAAAAATACAAAATAGAGAGGTTGGAATGGGAATCGTATTCCTATGGGGGTCGGAAATGGCCATTCCCCATATGGGGGAATCCCATTCCGCCTAGAATGGGAGTGGGATTCCCATTTCGATCAACCAAACGGTTGGTCCGATTCAAAGCGCCTATTCCTACGAACCAAATAGACCCACGGTGTCAAAGTACTCATGTAAGAGGATTTTAACCCTAATTCTCATGGTATGGAGGAATCTAGGACCATGTAGGCAATTGGTAGGGTTGAGCCAGAATGTTGGTTATTTGCTCTTCACCCACTCTCCACCAATGTACCCCTAGCAATCAAAGGCCCAATATAAGAGAAGATCTCTGATAACATAATCAAATTACAAACATGCCCAAAATAAAGTCTCCCTATTAACCCCTTGTTTTGCTAAAGCATAAGCCAAACCATTTGCTGACCTCCTAACCCAATTAAACTGTGCTCTGAGCTCCCTTGTCAAGTTTATAATTTCCCTTACATGTTGTCTAAGGGACCAAGTGCCCAAATTATTTGTTTGCATCCAACCAATGACCAATTTTGAATCCCCCTCCACTTTTAACTATTGAAATCCCAATTGTTTAGCCAATTTGAGCCCTTGAAGGAGTGCCATTAATTATGCTCTTAGTGAGTCACCCTCACCTGTTGGGCCAAAGAAAAGGGCAAAGACTCTTGCTTCCACATCTCTAAACACACCCCCAATTCTAAAGGACTAGGGTTGCCTATAGAGCAGTTATCAAAGTTCAATTTCACAATATGTTGTAAAGGAGGGGTTCCATCCTCATGAATGGTTGGAGGATGAGTGGAGGAACCTGCTACTATGTTCCATCCTCTGAGCAAGTCATCTACAGAGAAATCCTTGAAGAGGTCCATAGTTTTCAACCAATGTATGGCCTTGATGGTGATCCCTTCTACAAGTTGAAGCAATGTTTTTTCTTGCCCTTGGAAAATCCCGTTATTTCTCTCTTCCCAATTTACCCAAATAATAGTTGCTCTTGTTGTTCTCCACAACACCCTTCCCTTCTTCTTTCGTTGTCAAAATAAGCTAGAGTCGAAAAGGTCCGCCACACTTGAGGGGTGAATCCACCTATAATCAAAGAGAAAAGAGAACTATTCCCAAACATGAGTTACAAAAGGACAAGATATTAATAGATGATTCACCATCTCACCACTATTCAAGCAAAGGCCACAAACATGTGGGGATCGACACTAGTTTGGTCTCTTTCTTTGAATCACATCCAAAGTGTTAATTTTTTTGGAGAACCACTTCCCAACAAAAAGCCCTTACCTTTGGAGGTACTAGATCACACCACACTTTTTTAATAGGAAAATAATTAACCACATTATTAGAGTTCAACAAAGTATTGAAAAATGAAGAACAAGAAAATCAACTTGAGGAAGACGACCAAATTCTACTATCAAGCCAAGACTAATCCAGATACACTGAGCTTAGAAGAGAAAAAAGCTCATCTGCCAAACCCATTTATGAGTCCCTCAAACCTCTCCTTAAAGATGGGTTCCTGATCATTTATTCCCTCTCTTTGGACAAGTTTAAAATCATAATCCCTGGTAGATTATCAAAAGAAATTCCACCAAGGTCTTTGATGTCCACCCAATGTGGATAGTAAGATGATTTTGTTTGTGTTATTTATATTGAGAAAGAGACAATAATTCATCCCTAATCCCACTATGTGTCCCCCAACTTTTGTCCATCTTACCAAGCCCATTTTTTTTCTCCAAGCATAGCACAAAATTTTGTGAGGCCCAAATTATTAGGCTCTAGCCGAACCTGAAGCCTGAAAAAAGTTCAGGTTGGACTTAGCTGGGCTCAGGTTGAGCCTGCCCAGGTTGCAGCCCTAGTTGCAAAATTCACAGCACCTTTCTTTTATTGTTTGAACTTTGAACTTGACTGTTGCTTATTCTTTTATCTTCTTTTTATGGTTCAGTGGAGTATATAAAGTTGTTTAATAGCCAAGTATGACCAGATAGCATTCATAAAACAGAGCTGGGTGGGCAAAATGAAGGGGTGTATCTGGAGTACTATGTGATATGAGAGAACCACCACTTAGGTTAAAAGGAAAATTAAACAGTTGTAAGGCCAGTAATATTGTATGGAGCAGAGTGTTGGGCAGTTAAGAATCAATATATGTCCAAAAAGATTTTTTTTCTGAAAAGTAAAATAAAAATTTTATTAAAACTTTAAAAAACAGGCCAAATACAAGCATCTTCCAGGTGTTAAGATAACACTCACCCAACATATGGTAAAAACAAGAACAAGAGGGTACAACAGAAAGTCCTGAACAGCATTTTAAAAGTCTTCATCAATATAATCATATTGTCCACCTTCCTCATCCATGCCTCTCCTCCTTCCCCAACAGCGGTCTTCCTTGAGATCTCCTCCCTCTTCTTTTTCAAATGCTTCGAAAGCCCTTCTAGCGAAGTCCTCTCCTCCCCCCCCCCCAAAAAAAAAAAAATAATAATAATAAATAAATAAAAACAGACCTAAGCTCTTACACCCACCTTAACATCCTGTCAACCAGACACTTATCTCCACTCCCCCCCCCCCTTCTCACTTATGTCCAAAAGATGATGTAGCAGAAATGCAAACATTTAGACGGAAGAGTGGGAAAACTAGGAACAATAGAATCAGAAATGAGCATATCCTTAGGAATTTAGGAACAGTCCCTATAGGTGATGGGGAAAGGTAGACTAAGGTGGTTTGGTCATGTGCAAAACAGCACCAGTGAAAAGAAGTGATTTGTTGCAAGTTGAAGATGACCCACCTCAACATCCTGTCAACCAGACATTTAATCTCCACTCCCCCCCCCCTATGTCCAAAAGATGATGTAGCAGAAATGCAAATGTTTAGATGGATGAGTGGGAAAACTAGGAACAATAGAATCAGAAATGAGCATATCCTTAGGAATTTAGGAACAGTCCCTATAGGTGATAGGGAAAGTAGACTAAGGTGATTTAGCCATGTGCAAAGAGGACCATCTACAGCACCAGTGAAAAGAAGTGATTTGTTGCAAGTTGAAGGGTCTAGAAGAGCTATGGAGGTCCTAGAGGACATGAATTGGACTGGTGCAAAATGATTGAGGGCCTACAATATAACAATGTATATGGCACTGAACAGAGTGGAATGGCAGAAGAGGGTTCATGTAGCCAATGCCATATATAGTCCGAATATGGCTTAGTTGAGTTGAGTTGTGTCAGAGTTCCAATCAAATGCTATAAATTTTGTTATAGAATGTTTTGCCTTGCATTATATTTGGGGCATCTCAAGATATTTGTTTGGGATTCAACTGCAACCAATATCTTGCATTCTCTATATGTCAATCCTATCTTTCTACCTGGAGGAACGACCTCTATCCTGGGGAGTGCTTTTAAAGGTTTTGTTTTTATCTATGCTCCTTATCTAAGGTGACATTGTGATAGTTCCCATGAAGTGCTGATTGAAGTTGATTCATTTGGATAAAAGTGATAAAGCATGGCTCAGTTGCATATATGGTATTGTATGCTCTATCACTCCCATGTTCTGTCTTCAACAAATATTTTTACTTGTGAAACAGAAACTCAAACACGTATACATTTTTCATGACAAATTCAAAATATTGTTTTGCTTAAATGAGATTGGCGAAAGATCATTACTTCTAGAGTGAGCTGAGTTTCAGGGAACAAGTATATACCTTGGAAGCTTTTAGAGATGAGTATGTTGGGTCTAAGTTTGTAAGTGCAGAAAGAGTAAAACCTTGGAGGATCCACAAATGCATAGCTTTTATTTAAGATTGGGGTGGGATTTGAGGTTTACTTTTTGAAGGATGTATGCTGCTGTTCAGTTTATGTTGTTTCCAAGATTTCTTAATCAACACATTATAGCCTCAAATAGAGACTTATTAGTCAATAAACACCATGATCCACACAGTAAGGTTCCCTTTTTGGCTTTGGTCCTTGTTCCACATCTTTTCAAAAACAATTGTTCATTAAGAACGTTGCTGATTATTGAAAATCCCATAAGATCTCAATCTGGGCTATGGCATTGTAGTTCCCACTTACATGAGTTGCCAGTTTGAAAACAACTGGTAAGTGGATTCATGACTGCTCTTATTGGCAATGTAGGAAGGTTTCTCCCCACTCACATTGGAAGGTGATACACATTGTCTAATTTTCTAGAGGACCTAACAATTGGCAAAAAAGTTCAGTAATGAATCCGTTTGCAGGTCAGTTCTGTTGGATTCAGTATAGCTGGTGCTTTACAAGGTCAAACAGCATTTTCCTTTACCTCTTCTCTCTGTCAAGAGTGTAAGTGCAAAGACTCCAAATACCAAAAGTTGCTGCCTTTGGTTATAAAACCTTGCAGAAATGGGTCGTAAAGACCATAAATTACAAACCAGGAATCCAAATCCAAACCAAATGAGCCAAGGAATTATGGGTGATAAATGATCCTTTAGTGTTGTTGTCTGAAAGCAAGTTTTATTTTCTTTGTTCTTTAATTTGGAAATTTCTGGTGCCAACATAAGTGGCCTTCTTGTTCGTAGTATGTGGATCAATTCATATATCCTTTTGGTATGTGATGTGTGGTATCAGACTATCAGGAAAACTAAGAGATGTGGTATCTGCTTGGGTGGCTCTGAAGCTCACCTGTGGAGGATGGATTCCATGGGAATGTTATATGTAGTTGCTTGGACAGTCTTGAATGGATTTTTTTTAATTATTTTGATTGGTACCTGGAATGGATCGAGGGATTTTTGATAATATATGAAGACGAGAAGATGGTGGAAGTTGTAATTGAGATACTCTATAGTCTATAGACTCTATACTAGACATCCATATATTCCTTGGGTCCTTTTGGACTCCTTACTAGAATAGGCAAAGAATTCAGTTTTCTTAATGGCTTTCCCCTTCTATTAATAGTTGTTACAATTTCTTGTTATTTATATAAAAAATTAAGGCTTGCATGTTTGCATGAATCATACAGGAATTTTCATATTAGTAATGCCCGTCTGGGAGGGCTTTCATCATGCAGCGGCTTCTGGTTCAAAGGTAGGCCCCACACAGAAAGCCCTCAAGCCATATTTGGTGAAAACCTCGAAAGCCAAAAACATATGCTTGTGAGCTGAGAAATTGACTTTCCAGTGTAGCTATTTCTGGTAGCTTCTCCAAAGCAACTCAGTCAATGAAGCTCAAGCAACATGAAAACCCTCCCAAACGGGCCTGCAATTTTATGGTTGAGGCTTTGTTTCCATCATTTGATATTGTGTCATTTTCTTTTTAGGAGTTGGGTCTGGAATGTTGACAGAAACATTATAGATGACGCTTTTCTTCTTCTTTCCTTTCCACATGGATGATTTTCTCCAGTCTCCATCCATTTCCATTGATATGATTATTGGACGTTAATTGCTCTGACTGCTATTTTATTGTAAGTTGATCTTTTCACCACCTGTTTGCTTCAGGGACTTGGTAAGCTATCTCTTGTTGCTGCTGCTGCTGCTCAGTCTGCTGCTAATGTTGTCCAAGCAGGCACAAAAGAGTTCACTTCCAAGGTATATGGCCTTTCTGATTAATTGAGTCTTAATTTTTTAGCCCTATGCCACTATGTTATTTTTCACCCAAAGACTGTGCTGCAAGGACCACCTTTCTTTTTCATTCTTTTTTCCCTTCCTTGTTTGTTTGACCTCAGAATCCCTGATTTTCACTGGAGTCTTTCATTTGCCACTTTGCTTCTATGTAAAAGGGCGGAAAACAATGTTTTTGGCCATAAAAGGGCCAAAAACGTAGCTGACTTTTTATAGATTAAGTTTCTTTCCCCTTTCACAGTGAAACAAGCAGGGTAGAAAGGAGATGATTGTAATTCATTGGTATAGCCTCTTCAGACCACTTTATCTTCAATGAATGATTCCATTGTAATATTTCTTTACATTTTAGAATTTAGAATACAAAGTCTCCATTCTATGTTTATAAGATATTTACTAGAAGAGACCCATTGATGCACAGACTGATGTTAAAAGATGCCTTATGTTCTATGGGGGAGTGATTTAATTCAGTTTCCCAATAAAAAGGAAACTTAAATGGTTGTCGATGGGTTTAAATAGCCCCATGCTTGATTTTTTTAATGCAGAAAAAAACCACAAAATTCAAGAGGGTTGAGAAGTAATATGAGGAAGAGAGAGAATAAGCTGATGTGGACAACTGTGTTTTAAGTATATAGAATAGATTAGAACATGGTAATTTTATGTTTTCTTGAAATTCAGCTCATTTTTAGTTTTTCTTAACATACTGAAATGGGTCTATTCATTGTATATGCAAAACAAAAATTGAATGCTTACATTTTGCATGGCAACCAAGATGGCTACACTGATCCTTCTTGAATTTTGTCTTGCCTTTCTATCTTCCAATCTTGGGGCCCCAGTTTGAGTTGCAATAATGCTAATTTATATCTGTGATTTAGCAATGGAACTACCACATATTATAAGAATTGTTAAGAGTGGACGTTCAGGGGTATTTTAGTTTGTTCACATTGTTGTATGCTTATTATTTTATTACTAGTTTGTCCAAGTTTAAGTTGCTGTCCCCACACTTAGTGAGGGGCAGTATTGTCATTGTATGATTAAGGGATAACCATATAATGAATCGGCCGACTGGGAAAGAGTATTCTTTTCTCTCCTCCCTGCTTCTATTCTGTCTCCCTTCTCTCTCTCTCTCTCTCTCTCTTTTCTGTTTGTGTGTCAGAACTCTAAACCTAGACAAAGCCGAGATTTATTTCATGTTATCAGAGAACTAAGAAGGGCTTTCCAAAGCTGCAACCACTTCTTTGGGTTTGTTCTACATTCTCTGATTTATTTCTACTAAGGGAGACAGGTTAGTAGGGCTTCTTTGGTTTATATCTCCCCTCTTCTTCTCTTCTTTAGTGCTGTCACCATGGGTGACAGGTTGGTGGTGTGTGTAGTGGTGACCAAGAAGGTTATGTGCTTTGGTATGTGACTAGAGTGCCGTCTAGATGTGCTGCAGTGGTGCTTGTGCTATATTTAGATGATCATATGCTGCTGAAACCTTAGATGTGGTGTTGAGTGTGAACAGCATAGAATTTTGTCCGAAAGGTGTTTGATTAATAGTCGTTGTGGGGTAACAGCATAAAAAAGTGTTTGATTGTTGACATAGTGTGGGCAGCAAGCTGTGCTTTTTCCCTCTTTGCTGTTGTTCCTTGACTAACTGTTATAAGATCATCATGGCAGCATCTGGTAGTGCTGTAGTGGTGAAAATAAGTCCAACACTTCAGTTCAGTCTGGAATTTTTCAATTAAAGGTGACGACCATTAAGCTAAATGGAACTAATTATATACCTTGGTCCAAGTCAGTGGAAGTCATTCTTAAGGCAAAAGGGAAAATGACGTATTTGAAGAATGAGAAACCAGCAGCGGATAGTGGTGACTGGTGAGCATGTGATTGGGAGTAAGAAGATGCTTAAATATTAATGTGGTTGTGGAATAGGATGGAACCACAGATCAGTGCCAATTTTATGTTTTGGAAGCATGCTAAGAGGCTGTATTTTAAAGGACAAGATTACACATATCTATCAATTGTTTCAAGAGTATTTACAGCTGCAACAGGGTGTTAAGAGTGTAGAGAATCACTATGCTAGCCTTGAGAACATACGGAATGAACTTGAGACTTATCAGCCCCTAAGTTCAGATATCAAATTACAACAACAGAGGGAGCAATTTGAGGTAGCACGATTTCTTTCAAGATTGAGACCAAAGTTTGAACCTGTTTGTGCCCAAATTCTAGGCAGTGTTGAACTTCCATCATTAGAGGACATCTTTTCTGGTGTGCATTGGGTGTCTCTCGTCTCTATGGAGACTGTTACTGGGCATGAAATATGATTATGGAATCTCTCGTCTTTATGGATATTTATTAAGGAAATATGATTATGGAACCTAGGGAATTACCCTAGGATACATGTTTTTACTTAAAAAAATCCATCAACTTAGGCGCCCACCTAGGTGACAAGGTGCCCCCCTGTCGCTTGGCGCCTTGAAAACTATGTTTTGGTTTCAATCCAATCTTTCATGAAAAAACAAAACATATAGAGGTTGATTGTCACTTTATTTGGGGACTAGGAAAAGTCGATGAATAATACTACTATAAATTCTGTCCGGTCAGATGGTCAATGGGCTGATCTTTTCAATAAGAGCTTGAATGGGGTGATAGTGACTTATCTTTGTAACAAGCTGTGTATGTATGATATCCATGTCTAAGAACATAGACTTGCAAACCGCCATGGACCCGGCCAAGATCATCCAATCAGGTCCAGTCTAATAATCAACCTAGGTAAGCATGTATTAGAAGATTCCAGAAACCAACTTCTCCACTTAATAAATAAGAAATGTAAAATAATAAATTAGAGAAAGACCCCTCACACCATCAGTCCCAAATCCTCTTTCAGTTTCTTCCTCAAACCTTTGGGTATTCGACCATCACCACCATATCCACGTTCCTACATCATTCTCCAGCTTGAGGGTGAGTGTTAGGAGTAGATGTTCGGAAGTATTTTAGTCTATTCAATTTGTTTTTATGTTTCTTATTATACTACTAGTTTCCCTAGTTTAAGTTGCTGCCCCCACACTTAGTGAAGTATGGTATGTCATTGTATGATTAAGGGATAACTATATAATGGATCAGCCAATTGGGAGAGAATACTCTTCTCTCCTCCTCCTGTCATCTTCCATTGGCTCTCCTTTCTCTTTCCTCTGTACAGGTTAGAACTCTAAACCTAGACAAAACCGAGATTTATTTCAAGAACCAAGTAGAAAGGCTTTCCCTCCCTACATGGCATCCTGCAATCAAGGATTAGCTTGATGCCTGGGTTCTGAATGGATGGGGTTCCTTTTTCAAAATTCCTGGCTGATCACTTACTGAGAGAACTGCCTATGAATTTTTTCTTGAAGAATCCAGTTACATTCATTCATTCTAGTGTTCATATTACATTGCTATATCCCTATAAAATTTGTACACAATTAAGTGTGAAAATAAAAAATGGATTATAGTTCATAAATTATAAATTCCGATATCTAATGGGATAATACTCTTAATTTGCGAGGAGGCAATAATATATAAGTCATTATAACATACAAAACCAAACGGCCAAGCAATGATGTGTGCCTCAGAACCACTTGGAAAGAAATCATTTCATTTCATTTTGTTTTACAAGTTCTCCATTTAAAATGGCATTAACCTAAAAGAAATGGAAATGATGTTCTTTATGATTTTGGGAGTGAAGTCTTTTTCTTGTTCTTTGACACTGAGGTAGTGACTCTATCTCAGTTGCAAACTTATGGGTTCAAGTATATGGAAAACTCAATTGATGTCATTCATTCCATGTTACCATTTAAGTGTTATTTATTTATTTATTTTTGATAAGCCCCATAGGCTGTGTTTGGAAACGATGCAAATAAATGTGAATGCAAACAGTAGAGTGTAAAACGGTCCATATAAATTACAAAGTTGGGTTAGTTTTGCATTGACAAATTTACCTTCTTATCAAACAGGTTTTTAGCTGTAATGGATGCAAACACAAATTCCAATAGAACATATGCCTTTTATTTATCAAAAGCCCACTTGAATGCATGTACTACATCTTTTTATCAATGTAAATATGCATTGGAAAATGTGTTTTCTGTCATTTGTCAATGCATAAATGTATTGTTTTGCCAAACACAGGCAAAAGTGAACCAGAGTGCAAATTTACCCTGAACCGGGATTTACACTCCATTCGCATCATTTCCAAATGCAGCAACATAAGTGTTTTAGTTTACACTTTAAAGTTACAAATTATCGGTAGTTTAGATTTCCCTCTCAATTTTGATCATTGGGTCACTCGGGGGCATTTGCCTTGCCCATTTAACCTTGGAACCTGATTGCCTAAGAAAGCTCTATCACTAGCACAATCTGACTTGCTTTTTCAGTATGTTTTTTTAATTCTAATTTGGGTTATTCTAGACATATATTCTATTTATTGAGCAATATCATAAATTTTTGTACTGTAGATGCCTGCAAATAATATTTACTTTTAGCGACTCTGCCATTTGTCTGGTATATATATTTGATGATTTTATAAGTATATGAATAAATTTCTATTTAAGTAAAATACACAACTGTTTTACAGGTAAGAGATGGAGGTTATGATTACAAGGTAAATGAGACAGTAAATGTGGTCACTGCAAAAACTACTGAGATTGGGCAAAAGACCTGGGGAATTATGAAAGGAGTCATGGCAATGGCTTCACAGAAGGTTGAAGAATACACAAAAGAAGGCATTACTTGGAAGGCTGATAACTGGCAGCAAAACGATAGCGAGAGAAATGGCTATTATCAGGAGTTCAGACAGGAGAGCAAGGGGTGGAATTCTTCTGGAGGGTATTCCTCGTCGGGTAGACAGTTCAACTCTGTCAGTTCTGGCTCTTGGGATGACTGGGATAGCAAAGACAATAGAAAAGACGAGCCCAGAAAGGGTGCATCATCTCAGAATGGTGACAGCTGGACTGGGTGGGATGATGCTAAAGATGATAGCTATGAGAGTTTTTACTCAGGTTCGTCCAGTAAGACCCTGGGGGGACAGAATGGGAAATCAGATGCCCAGTGGACGGAGGGTGGCTTCCTGTAAGGTTAGTAGTTTTTCTGTTTTTTTTTTTTCTTTTTTGTTAATTCTTTTACATGCTAAATAGGAATGAAGGGCTTGTGTTTTTCAAGATATTCGACAAATTTGCAAGATGTGGGAACCTCTTTGGTTTGAAAATTCAACTGTCTGAATTTGTGAACACTAATAGATAATTATTGTTTCATGGTTATGCTCGTCACTGTTTCTTATTTTAATACAATGATGTTACTATTTAGCAGTTAGCACCAAGAGGGTGCATTAGGGGTCTGGGAAATAGACTAAGCTGTTAACGTTCCAGATTAACCTAATGAATTTATCTGACAAGTATCTGATCCCAATATCTAAATGACGGGCAAGAGTGGGATGTGGCAATTAGCTGCATCCTGGTTTCCTGAGAACAGTTCTGTTCTGCCTACTCCGTTTGGTTGTAGTTTAATTGAAAATGTCCAATTTTTTTGTTAAAAAAATCACATTAAGTTTGTCAATTGTCACCATTTAATTCTATTATATGATATCATAACCGGTTCCTCTCATAAATTTTGTATTAACGTTTTATCCAAATGCATGGGAGTGCAAATTCTGGTTCGCAGCGCAGTTGGTTCAGGTCTTACTACGCTCTAGGTTTTATTTTACCTCATAACCAGAATTTGCATTCTTTTTTTTTCACTAGTGCTCAGTGGGTGCCCCGCCCTTTGGTTTCGCTTCGACTAGTTGTTTATTTTCATTCATCAGATTCTCAAGAGAGGGCTTAACTAGCACATGGAAAAAGGATACACAATCCGGAACCATCTCTCCTAAAGAAATGTTGTGGCTGACAATTATCTATACAGGTTTTGTCTTATTCATTAACACAAGAACACAGATACAGCCACAGGACAGGCAGGCATAAAGCACAGAAAAAACAAAACGGCTACAGATAACACCTAACTATCAAATGAAGAACAAGAACAGAAAGCTAAATCCAAATTCAAAACATCTGAGACAAAAAGGGCTAGACGAATTAGATTTAAAACTTGAACAAAATCCCAACTTTGCCGCAGCATGAGCTGCACCATTTGCTTTCCTCGGGCAAGTATTGAAACCTGAAATTTCTTCTTCTTGCAATAAGTAGAATATCCCTTCCGCAGAACAATATTTCTGGATCTTTGCAAACAATCTGATCATTCAAAGATTTCACAAAGTTAGCACAATCAGATCAGCTTCAAAACAGATATCTGAGTTGTTCGTCTGATCTGCAAATAGGCCCACTTCAAGGAGAGCTTTGGCCTCAGCCATTAGGAGAGAAGCATTAACAGGACCAAAAGAAGCCTGTCTGATTGACTCCAAGAAACCACCTTCCATGTAAACTTTCAGTTTTCCTTGACCCGGTGGAGCCCAAAAAAGTCTTCTTTCTTCTGACTAATTTTGGAAGAGCTCTTTGATCTCTGCTGCCAAAGAAAGATCTCTCCAGTGAATAAATGAAACAACAACCTGAGGATTAATATTTTATTTTTCAAAAAAGGAAAAGATTTCTATCTTTCCAAATACCCCACAGAACCATTGCAATATCTGCTAGTTGCTTCAAATTAGCCTTTCCTAATTGAAAGACAATGTTCATCAGCCAATCCCTGAAAAAACTGAAACATCAAACCAAAGTCTGGGTTTATGCCACAACCCGATCCCAACCAGATGCATTTTAACTTATCACATAACAGGAGAGCATGTAAAATGGATTCAGGCTCTTTACCACATCTATCACAGAGGTCTAAGTCACCCAAACCTCTTTTAAACAGATTTTCTTTTACAGCTATTCCATTTACACAGCATCTCGATTGGTTCAAACATGGGCATGCCATTCTGTATCATATGAAATTAAAAGAATCTCTCGCAACATGGTTTTTGTTATCCATCAGTGCAAGGTGTCTTTCCTTCCTTCAAGGGAGGCGAAAGTTTTTTCAACGACTAACCACAGAAACTGTGCCTCTTTTTAGCTAAATTGCATATGTGATTTTGTATAAGTTGTGTTGCCTTTTGAATTGCCCTGGACTTGGCTCAGACATGATAAGCTACCAAAAAATGGCTCTTTTGTTTAGAAATATTAGCCACATACAAAATTTGCACTTTTTTGTTTGTTTTGTAATTATGATTTGCACTCTTATCTGATACAAAATTTATACTTTGGACTAAGTTTGGAAATAGCACAAATGCAAATATATACAGTATAAATACATATAAAATAATACAAAATATAAGGTTTTGCACTCTGCATATTTGCATATTTAGGCTATATTTGGTTTGAAGGAAAAAGTAGGGAAAGGTAAGGAAAGTAGGGAAAAAAAGGTTTCCCTACTTTCCCTTCCATTCCCTACTTTTTCCTTCAAACCAAACACAATCTTGGGGAATCCAACTTCTATGGTTGGTCTTAGACTTCAAATTGGTCTATCTACCAAGGCCTTGTTTGTGTCTTGGTAAAATGACTTACCTGAGTAAATGCATTTATATGGCAAGTGTTTCTTATCCGGATAAGAGCACTTACCAGTGTTTTTATTCTTTAGGTAAAGGTGCAGAATGACCAATTTATCCAAAAAGGTGACATTATCGAAGGGACGATATTGTCCTATCACATAGTAACGATCTTTGATATGCATGGTTAAGTAATTTATCCAAGTCTATTACTTTCCCAAATAAATGAGTCGTTCGAGAATCATTCTTTTTTGTATGATTCACTAATATCGGAAAATAAACGAGGGTTTTTTCTTTTTTTCGGGGACCTACCAACTTACTCACCCCTACTTCTCATGAAACGAGCAAGGCCTAAGTATTGTTGAAAAAGTACTGCAATTTTTCTAATCTTATTTATTACTTGTTTAATCTTCTGATGGGTTTAGAAATTAGTACCAATAACAAGCTAGAAAAGCAGGGTAATTCACCTCTTAATGTTGTGATTTCGAAGAGGGGTTGCAATTTCTGACCCCAACCCACGTGACCTATCCAATCCATTCACTTGTAACCCTCTCTCTCGCTCTCTCTCTCAAAGAGGACAACCGGATTCAGTCAGTGCAAACTCCGCTCGAACAGCCTTTATAGCCTTGTATTAGGAATATCTCCCCATGAAATAAAGCATAGAAATATGAAGATGTTCCCAATACAAGGCTGTTCTAATGGTGTTCCAACAGAACTTGCACTGACTGAAGCCGATCTCCTCAAAGAGCGGTTGCAGTTTCTGACTCTAACTCACGTAACCTAATCTAAGTATCCAACAAATCCACTTATAAGCCACTCACTTGAAATGTGGGTTGAATCTCTCTCTCGTTCCGGTTCTGAACAGGACCTATTTCAGTCTCAGAACGAAGCTGATCATTAATTAAAACAATTGGGTCTAAATTGATAAGACCTGATTACACCCCTGAAACTTCCATGGCTAAGCAAGGAAGAGTACCAAATGGAAGAAAGCTGTCCTCCTCGACATCTCAATTAGTTAACACTTAACAGAATCTAATATATGTTAATCAAGTAGCAATCTTCTTATACTAGAAAGAAAATAAAAAAATATTCTGAAATTAAACACGATTCAAATATTGACAAAACTTGCTAAAAGACCTCTTTCTTCAAAATAAAAAAAAGGCCCTAAAGAAGCTTGAACAACTTTTGTATTGAGCAATGAAAGTATATTGAGTGATTAAAATTTATTTGAAAAATATTCACGCAAGGTTTGAATTATACCAGAGTAGCAAACTCTTCTTTGTTTTGTTGTCATTTCTTTTTCTATTCACACATCAACTTGTGAATGCAACTTTACTGGCAGCATTAGGCAAAGTATCGAGCGTATCATATCGTATATTTTAAGTTCCAAAATACCTTTTGGGACCTCACCCTTTTTTTAACTCTCCAAAAACCAAAATTTGAAATAAAAAAAAAACTGATTCCGTGTATTTAAGTACCGATACGCCTCTGCCGCTAGGCATATCGATACCTTGAACCATGGCAGTAGGGATGTAAATGGTTAATGGCAGAATGGACGAATGGCTAAATGGGAAGGAAGAGGAAATGACTATGATGGCATCGTTGCCGTTATTGTTGTTGTTGCCTCTACCACTACACTACCATTAGGGAAAAACTGAAGGATAAGATAAAGGGGGAAGAAGATTAGAAGAAGAATAGGGCAAACAGTGAGAGACACACTCCATGGTTTTTAAAACCGAATCGGTTAGGGGTTTGGTTACCGGTTCGAATGGTCCGACTGTTTGATAGTCGGCCCGTTCTGATAAAAAATTAAAAAAAAATTGGAAAATAGTCAAAACCGTTTAAATGGTTCGAACGGTTAATCGGCCAGTTCAACAGTTTGCTGATCAAAATCAACAGTTTTGGGGGAAAACAGAACCGATCAGGTGATCAATTCCTGACTTTTCCGGTCCGGTCCGGTTTTAAAAACCATGGCAAATTCTCATAAAAAAAGGGCTTCCAACAAAACATAGAAACCAAAATATAAATACAGAAAAAAAATAAAAAGTATATGAACAAGCATTCATGTAGGATAAAAGCGGGAGACTTCTTTTTTTATGAAAAATGGAAAATTTTGGAAGATCACATAAAGTCTCTCTGCCCCATCATGGATAAGTTTTTCTCTCTCTCTCTAAATCGGCAAAAACTTAAACCTCCCCTGTATTTCTCCTAAACACTGAAATATCCCTTTTCTTTTCAAATTGGACTAAGACTTTCCTTTTGGGGTGATGTCATTGGACAAAAAACTCTCCTCCCTTATGTCAGCACTTTGTTTGGATGTGACATCATGTGCAGGTTAATTTTTTAAACCCAATTTTACCCTTTATTATCCCTTTACTTGCTATTAGACTGATCTCCTATATATTTTTTTCCTTTTTGGGATGAAGAAAATAATTTGCTATGTCATTTAAATCTTTTTGTAAGATTTTTTTTAATATATTGAGAATTCAATCATTTTTGTAGCATTGTTTGATGCATAGTTTTCCGGTGCTAGTAAGCTCTACGGGTGAATAGCTTAGGTGGAACCCCTCTGTGGGTCGCGAGTTGAAAAGTCGGCATTTGGCAAGTCTTTTCATGCGTTCTTAGTTTTGGCAAGTTCAAAAGACCGACAATTGGTTTCAATTTCCATTTAATAACTAAAAACCAGAAAGATGAGAAAGTGTATGCATAAAAAAAACTCGAAAACACCGAATTTCAAAAAGCTTCAAATGAAATTTT